CACACACACACACACACACACACACACACACACCGTGTTTCCCCCAAAATAAGACAGGGTCTTATTTTCTTTTGACCCCCGAAATAAATGCTTGGTCTTATTTTCGGGGAGGTCTTATTTTTGAGGTGCAGAAAGCCTCATGGCTGCTGCTGTGTTGCAATCGTTTTTTTCTGGGGGGAGGCCTTATTTTGGGGGGAGGGCTTATTTTAGCGCATGCACTCAAAAGCCTGATTGGGCTTATTATCCAGGGAGGTTTTATTGTCAGGGAAACAGGGTACACACACACACACACACACACACACACACACACACATATATTCTGATAATTTTATGATTGCTTTTTGTAAATATTTTAATAAATGGATAAAGTTAACAGAGCTACACAGATTTTGTGTATATTACAAAGTAATTAAATTGTACTGAATATAAATTTTTATTCTACAGAATCAAATGCATTTTAATAGGCAGAAAATATTTCCCTCTAGGTAATATGGCTGTAACAATCTTTAGCATCAGTATTTGAAATGTAATATACTTACACACTGTTTAATTCAAATGTAATTGGTCAGCAACAATAATCTTACTGTATTGCCAAAATCTGAGTGTATGTCATTATGCTGCACCTCTTGGGTTGCTATTAAGAGATCCCAATTTACACAGAACAATGCGATGTCGCCTTAAAGTCACAGCTCCCCAGCCCTTGGGCTGTGGACCGGTATTGGTCTGTAACCGGTGGGAACTGGGCAATGCAAGCAGCAGGCAAGCACAATACCATCTCCATGCCACTCCCACCACCACCACTGCATGGAATGGAGCTGTTTTTACTGGCCAGATGCCCTTCCTGTCTCCAATGCAGAGTTCGCAACAGATATTTACTCAGTGTGCCCTGAGGGAGAAATATCTGCCACTACCTAGGATCTAACTCACAGTCTCCTGATTGTGAGAGGCCACTGCACCACTATGACAAACATGAAGAATAAATGAAAAAACTATAAAGAAGATTAATGGGGGGGGGGGGGAAATCTAGCTATTACATGTGCCTTTCAAACAAAGAGGAAGGGAAGGATAACAGACATGAATTAAGACGGTTTGATCTTGTGGAGATAAGGAAAGTGCACAGGTGAAATTAAGGTTTAATCATGAACAACGGAGCCACAATGAACCTCCGAAGTAGGAATTGGCGTCATCAAAGTTGTTCTGACTGCAGACAAAAGCAGTTGGTGATGCACCAGTGGTGGGTTACACTATGCTGAATGGCCACAGCAAAAGAAGCTGCAATCAATTCTAGAAAAAAAGCTGCTGGAGCCACTGAATGAATGCCATCACGGGAAAGACCCTACTCCACTAGATCCGGGGTCTCAAACTCACAGCCCACAGGCCAGATGTGTCATGTGCCAACCACCCCCACCCCTGGTTTAGCAAAGGGGGAAAATAGCAATAGCACTTAGACTTCTATGCCGCATCACGGTGCTTTCTGGCCTTCTCTAAGCATTTTTCAGAGTCGGCCTCTTGCCCCAACAATCTGGATCCAAACAAAAAATTAAAAAACTTTGTTAAAAAAAAACAATCTGGGTCGTCATTTTACCCACCTCAAAAGGACAGAAGGCTGAGTCAACCTTGAGCCTGGAGAAATTCGAACTGCCAAATTGCAGGCAGCTGGCAGTCAGCAGAAGGAGCCTGCAGTACTGCACTCTAACCACTGCATCACCATTCTAACCACTGCGTCAAAAAGTCGCAATACATCATGTGAGAATGTGACGCCGCGAGTTTGACACCCTGCACTAGAGGAATGAGCAGATGAGGGAGGGAGCAAAAGAGGACAGTATAAGAGAGATGATGGAGCCATTTAGAGACCCAGGAATGAGGCCTTGGCAACTGGGGGGGGGGGAAAACCACCAGTCCCCCAAGACAGTTTCCCTTAAACAGGCTTTTCCCATCCAGGCCCAGAGAATTTGATTTTTGTTTCTCAAGTGAGGAACTTTCCACCTTTCCCTGTTACAACTCATTTTGTTACTCACTCAATTACAGCTGTGTAATTGGTCGAGACCATTTTGCATTTTATTTCTGTCATCAAGTGTATTAAACAAGCAAACAAATCAACAAATGAGCAAGCAAGCAAGTTGTGTGGCCCAATTCTGTATGGCCTGTAAAAGATGGGCTTTCCTTCCACCTCTCCATCCAGACCAGAATGAAAATAAGGAGGGGGGCCAGAGGGACACAACGGATTTCACCCTCTAGACTGAATCTGGTGCTCTCCTCTCCCATTTGAGGAGCAGCCATGCACAAACAGCCCACAATGTCTCCATTTCACCCCTGTGCTATCCAACCCATTTCTTACTAGCTTGGGGTATCGTCGTACTTTTTTTCTGATAAATCAAGCTATACCATGTCTCTGAAGGGGACGAGCAAGATTCCAATGTGGCACGCATTACCAAGACCTGGCTAACAGAGTGTGTGTATGTGTGTGTGTGCGCGCGCGTGTCCTCTGAGTTGGGCACCAGCTGAGACCCCAAGGCAGGGAAGGTGAGATGGCAGAGGGCATCTGAGAATGTCTCTTGGCTTTTGGGGGCCATGTCCCCGAGTTTCCAAATATGAGATCCTACTTCTGAGACTGGCTCCTGGGATAAGCACAAAATCTATGTATTTTATTACACTGTAAGCCACTTAAAATCATGTTGAACAATGGGCAGCAAATAAATGTAATAATAAATAAAATAAAACTCCCAGAATGTTTCTCCACTTCACCACCTCGTCCCTTTCCATGTATATCTGTTATGGCAATCAGGCCTGCATGCGTCTTCCAGTGCAAGGGAAGCGCAGCCTTCATCTCTGACCTGGGTTGGGGGTCCCAGCTGCTATCTTCCGAGCTTTGCCTTTAGGTACAGGGGGCAGCAGCTCCACTTCCTCCTGAGGCATCTGGGCCACTTTCTGCAGGAAGATCTTTTCCAAGGCTTGTGCCATGAGGACGATATCATCCGTTGGCTGGCAGAGAGGCACGGAAAGAGAAGGAAACACAGAGTAGCACAGAGGGCAAACTGAAATCCAAAGGCCCACACGTTCATTGCTAACTCTTGGGGGACCGAGGCCATTTGCCCTCAAAGGGTCTGGGCCCAAGGGAGAAAATTCAGAGCCAACACCCCCTCTTGGTAGTAGCCAAACATAGCCTATAAATGCCACGAGGCTTCCCCAGAAAAGAGTGGGCTAGATCCTTTACCTTGTTGTAAATGTAACAATTGGTAAACATGGTATTGAAATCCTGCATGCATTCACTGGCGCTCCAGTAGTAGTTGTGCTCCAGGCGCTTCTTGATGGTGCCCATGTCCATTGGGTTCTTGATGATTTTGTGGTAGTCCTGTTGGGGAGAGGAAGCAGTCAGTCTTTCACTAGCACCTTAGATGACCTGAGAAGAGGGCTGGCAAGAGAGGCATGTCAAGGGAAGCCCTAAATCCTGACAGTGGAGGGGGATAGAGGGAGCAAGCAAGCAAGCAATCAGAATAGAGCTGGAAGGGACCTTGAAGGCCTTCTAGTCCAACCCCCGGCTCAAGCAGGAGACCCTAGACCCGTGATGGCCAACCTATGGCATGCGTGACAGAGGTGGCACGGAGAGCCCTCTCTATGGGCACACATGCCATTGCCAGCTGCACTTCCGGTTTCCGTCGAGAACACACATGAAGACCACCTGCTCTCTTCTAGGTTCTGTAGTGCACATGCATGAAGACCAGCTGGCTGGCGCGCATGTACATTACGGAACCCAGAAGAGAGCGGCTGGCTGGCCGGCATGCATGCGTGCGACGAACCTGGAGGTGCAGCTGCTCTCTTCCGCGTTTTGGTGCTCCAGTGCGCATGCGCACTCCTGCTTCGGCACTTGGTGCCAAAAAGGTTAGCCACCACTGCCCTCTCCCATTTCAGATGGGTGGCTGCCAGTCTTTCTTTAAAAACCTCCAGTGATGAAGCTCCCACGACGTCTGGTGACAAGCGGTTGCACTGGTTAATTGTCCTTGCTGTTAGGAGGTTTCTCCTTAATTCCAGATTGCTTCTCTCTGTGATCAGTTTCCACCTGTTGTTTCTTGTCCTGCCTTCTGGTGCTTTGGAGAATAGGTTGAAACCCACCCCCCTCTTCTTTGTGGCAGCCCCTGCAATACTGGAAGACTATCATGTCTCCCCTAGTCCTCCTTTCTCTAGCGCTGGACTATCCGTACCCAATTCCTGCAGTAATGATAGCAGGGCTGGTAGCATGTAATTAAGTGCATCAACGAATCTTATTCTTAAGTGTAGTGCAAGGAAAACAATCACATTCACAACACAGTGAAAACCATCAAGACAGAAAGACACTCTTAATAATCAATCAAAAGCATCATTAACCCCAGATAAATCTGATGGGCAGTTTTGATGCCCTGAGTCCCTAGGGAGTGGGCGGCATACAAATGTCAATAAACTTCCAAACTTGACAATAAACACAAAATATCTGGGTATTCGTTTCCTCTCATAAATATTATATATTTGTCTTTGCATAATGCATAAATATACTGAATATTCTTGTACAAAATATGGTAACCACTATTACCATACCATATTATATGGTAACAAGCAAGGATGAAGACCTCCTAGAATCCATATGGGTCAATATAAAAGGAGAAAAGAATGACATTGCTATAGCAGAAGAAATAGATGGACTTTGCTAAACAATTAACAAATGTATGTAGGAAACACACAGCAGAAGTAATGGGAGATTCAGCCTTCCATCCTTCCGAGGTGGGTAAAATGAGGACCCAGATTGTTGGGGGCAAGAGGCTGAATCTGTAAACCGCTTAGAGGGGGCTGGAAAGCACTGTGAAGTGGGATATACGTGCTGCAGCCATTTTGTGTTTTCTGGTAGTTACTTTTGTTCTCCTTGGCTTTGTTTCATTTCAGATGGAGTGTCAAAGTGCCATCATTCCACGTGAGCCTCAGCTAAAATTCAACAATATTTTTTGGGGGGGGATTATTTTCTTCTCATTTTCAAATAAATAAATAAGATAATTAAGTGGAAAGAGAGAGAAATTAGGCTGACCAGATATTTTGCTTTGGGAATCTGGAAAGTTAAGGCAAAATCCTGCAGAATCTGAGTGACTTAACAGAGCCAATAAGCTTACTGCAAGACATCAGAAAGCTGTTATTTTTGCTGTTATGGTGAAGGTGATGCAATGTTTACTCTCCAAGGATGGAGTGGGAATCTCACCATTTAGCAACACAAGCACAGAGAGAGTGGCTAGAGAATTCTCCTAGGAGGCAAGATTCTGACTGCCCCCTCAAAACCCAAACTCCACACGCATAGGAAAACCGTGGCTGTCCTATGGGCCGATTGTTCCATCTTCAGCAGCACCTGTCTATCAAACATGGTCTTCAGTTGGAACCAAAGAGCCAAGAAAACCTCCCGAATCTCACTTTTCACCCCAAGTGACAATTTAAACTCTGTTTGCAGACAGCTTAAAAAGACACCTTCACACAATATCATCTATAGCAGGGGTGTCAAACAGAATTTCTTCGAGGGTCGGATCAGCATTGTAGTTCTCTGGGGGGGGAGAAGTGGGGGCAGTGGGAGGAGATAGGACAGAAACCTCTTGCAGCACTTTGCCGGCCAAAAACGGGCCAGCAGAGGCACCATGGGCTGGTCCTTTCATATTTCCAGGCCGGCCCCACGGGCGAATTTAAGCAACCCACAGGACTTGAGTTTGACACCCCTGGTCTACAGCATGTTCTGATTTTTAATTTAACCATAGAGCAGAAGTTAAATGTTAAGTTTAACTCCATCAGAGCAGAGAGGCAGGGAATGTTTTGGGTCCCATCCCTGAGGGAGATACACCTGGTGGGACCCAGAAGAAGAGCCTTCTCTGTGGTGCCTCCCTTTCTCTGGAACATCATTTCCCCAGAGATTAGAATGGCTCCCACTCTAATACTCTTCTGGAAGGCGCTGAAGACCTGGTTCTGCCAGTGAGCTCGGGGAACCCAGAGAGGGATGGAGCCCATTAAATGGCTTGTGTGATCGGCTGTCGCTGGGGCGGGAAGTGGGAGATAATTTTATTACATGATTTGATTTTTTATTAGTTTTACTGTTTTTAGATGTGGTTTTTTATATTCCGTAAGCCGCCTTGAGTTGCCATGAACGAATAGGCGGCAACATACATTTAATGATAAATAAATAGATAAATAAATAAATAAATAAAATGTCTTGACAGAGACATTAAAAAAAGAGAGAAATTATCACTCACCGGTAAGTTTAATTTAATGGCGTCAACTGGCTGATAGAAGGGCCAGGCAAATTGGTGCTTCCACAGGGTCTTCACCACCACATTCTGCATGTACTGCAGTTGGTTCGTCTTCCTCCCAGGCTTGGTGGGGTTGGTGACCTCTGGGGGAGGAGGGTTGACTGGCCCCTGGGGGGCCTGGATGGCTGATGTAAGGGCAGACATAATTCCCTGCCTCCTGGTTTCACTGAGGGCGGCGGCAGCAGCAGCAGGAGCAAAAGGGAGGAGGAGGAGGAGGAGAGCCGCCTGTTATGCTCCCCGCGTGGGATGGGCATCCCATTTCCAGGGACCAGCTATGCAGCCTGGAAAAGGCAAGGAGAAAAAGCATGTTGGTTTCTTCAGTGGGAAAAAGATGGCATTATGGAAAGCAAAACGTTTGGTGGACAAAGCAGCCATCCTCTTTTCCCAGATCCCATGGTTACTTGGCACCCCCCCATAGAAAGGAATCCATGTGAAGAGTTTTAGTCTCCTAACTGTCATCCCCATCACTCACCCCAGAGCAGTGGAAGAGGCAACCAACTCTGGGGCCAGAGGCCATCCAGGTGTATGGCTCAAATGAAGAGTCTGACATCAAAGAAGAAACCACATGCAGAACAGAACATTCCCAGAGCTCTTGAGAGGCCCCATCGGTCATATGCTTATTAAGTACGGTAAACTGCCACCTATCCACCACTGGTGACTTGCAGAGAGAGAGAGGGCTTTTGGGAACAACCGACAAGCTCAGTAGTGCCACAGTGAGAACTACAAACATCAGGGAAAAGGGGGGGAGTCTTCCATCGCATCCCTTCTTTCTTAGGCCAGGGCTAGTTCTTCCCATCGGGCAGAGGGAGACATAGTACCCACTCTGAAGTCTCAAACTCAATATATCAACAACTATGCCTAAATAACAACCCCAAAGAAGAGGTGCCTTTATGGTTTAACGAGGGTTGGATTCCCACAATCTACTGAAGCATTTTGTGTTGGCTGCATCTAGTGTGTTACACAAAACCTAGGGCGAAATATGAACTGGAGCCCTGCCGATGCCTCTTTAAGGAAGAGTGATAATCCTACAATCATCAAGGCAGATAAAGGAATGTCTGCAAGGAAACAGCTAAGCTCAGAAAGCACCAAGGACCTCCCTACCTACAAGGGACTTTTCTTCTTTGGGAAATTGAAGCCGGTCAGCATTTGCCTTCCCCAAGTACAAAATCGCAAATAGGATCCTATATTTTTTTCTGGTCCTAAAAAGTCTTTGCTGGTAGTTACTTTATGGATGCCAAGGTTCATAACTGCTTTTGTTCCCCTCTTTGCCCCTGGCGCACGCAATGGGGTTCAAAGACAGTGGCTCGATCCATACATGTGGCAAGCCATACGACCACTTGGTTCTCATTTAACACGCATAAGGAAACTAAGCAACAAAAAGTTTGTTCAAAATAGCTAAACATTATTTTTTTACATTAGGCAAAATACTAGCAAAGAGACTATATTAATTTAAAACTATTAACCATGAGGCATTTTCATTCTGACAATAAAATAAAATGACACACAAAGAGCAAAATTCAATTTCTATTCCATCAAGTCATTTCAAGTGAATAAAGATTTGATCTTTTCAAGGATTCACATAATAAACAAAAGTGTAATTTGTTTCAAAATGGGAGATGTCCCAAAGAAGGCAACAGATTAGTCTATTCCAGGAGTGACTCTCTTTTTTCCCCAGTGAAAACTGCAAGCTCCACCAAATGCCTCCCATCACTGGAGAAAAGGGTGGAATAGTCACAGAACTCCCCATCTGAAGAGATGAATCACCTAAGAGTAAAGCTTTTCTTCAGGGTGGAGTTTCAGTAAAATAAAAACTTCCAAACAAAGAACCAAGGGCTTCCTCAAACATTTCTGCCTGTCATGGGCCAATCCATGGGGCCAGAAGAGAAGGCAAAGAGCAGGGAGGGCCCAGGCAGTGGCTCTCTGTAACTGGCCTTCTAGTCTTCAGGGAGCCCCACCACTTTGGATCCCCCTGAATGGGGACAGTTTACAAAACTGCCCCCTTTCCCCTCATAGGCACTTACCAATTCCATCTTTTTCTGATATTCTGAAGCAGTTTTTCATCACCTTAATAGCAGTTTATACTTTCGTATCAATCCCCAAAACTTTGGTATAGATTAAAACAATAGTTTCCACAGGCTAGAATTTACAAAGTTACTTCTGGCTATAAATGATGGGAAACTATCCAGTAAGTTCTCCAGATTGCACACAACTACAACTACCTGTGTGTTAACAACCAAAAAGTATGTTGTTTTTTCTTGTTCCTCCCCTCCTGAACAGATGCAAGATAATGGGGGGGGGGGAGAAAGGGCTCTGGAAAGCTCTTTCCAGCGGCCTCCCTGCAAATGTTATATGCAAGCTCAATAATGACATGAGTAATGCAGAACTCATGGAGCCACTTCCTACCTTTCCCAGGGTGCCTTCTGGGCACCACCACCTCTCATTATCCAGGCCTCTGCTTCAAAGCAAAGTCAGGCACTGGCTTCCTTCAGTCATCAGGTGGGGCCCAGATGCTAAGGCTGTCCTCGGATCGAAGCTGGAGTGCTAAGACCCTCATAAAGGGCAGGCGGTCCATGCTCCATGCTCCATGCGCGGCTGCTCCTCCCCCAGGCCCTCTCTCTGCCCTGGGGATTCCAACAGCCCTGCTGAAGTCCCAGGGGGCTGGCTGGCTGGCAACCAGGGCTGAAAAGTACCAGGAGAAGCCCCTGCATTGAGCCTAGGAGGCAGAGGAGCAGAGGAACTCCAGTCCTCCAGCCTGCCCAGCTCCCCCTGCAGAGGAGGGACATCTGTGGCAGGTCACAAAAGAGGCCCTGGAAGGCAGCAAACACCTGGGGGGCCACTGCAAACCTTTCTCAGGTCCTGGCAATTGTGTTGCCTAGTTTTTTATCCCACTTTGATTTCTTTTAATTGAAGGCAGCATACGTAGCTTAATGCCTCCTGTTTTCTCCACAACACTCTTGTGAGGTGGGTTGGGGAGAGGGAAGATAGAGGAAGAGGGAGAGACAACACCTGCCCCAAAGTCACCCATCTGGCTTTCATCCCTAAGGGAAGGCGACAATTTGCATTCCTCTGGTTTCTTTTAACTGCTACACCAAATTGGCTCTCACCAATTACTTTGCCAAGAAAAAAAAAGGGGAGGGGAACTTTGGAGTCCCATACACAGAAAGAAAGAAAAAGCTAACTTTTTCCAAGAATGGCATGCACACACACACACACACACACACACACACACAAGTTTTTGGGCATCCAGTTTTCGTATTTGTCAGAAACAATAAGCCTGAATGACAGAAAAATTGCTGCAATGCTCCCCAGAATTTTTTTACTGCTGTAAATAAATCAAGCAAGAGATAAAGCATAAAGGTCAAGCAGCCTCCAAATAATGAGGGGGAGGGGTCTAGCAGGCACAAAGCACCATTTTATTCCGACTCCTCAATGAAACTTTCAGAGGCGGCTGAGTCCTGGATTCCAGAAGCTTCTCTATTATAAGGCAGCACTTTAATCCTGTGGGCGGCACTGCTGTGCCCACGTCCGCCCCGCCCCCCCCATGGCTCTCCTCCATCTAGGGCAGTGTTTCTCAACCTTGGCGACTTTAAGTCCTGTGGACTTCAACTCCCAGAATTCTCCAGCCTGCTAGGGGACTTAAAGTCTCCAACGTAGAGAAACACTGATCCAGGGGTTCCTTCTACCTTGGCAGTTGGCCAATCCGACCACTTCCCTCTGCCACTCTCTGGCACGCTGCTTATCAGCTGAGTTTTGCACACTGCCCTCCTTCCTGGCCATGAGGGTTTTCATCATCTCTGACCCTTGTGACTAGGGTTTATGGGAGCTGTAGTTGAAAACAACCGTAGGGAATCGGGTGATTTATCCTGAATGCCTTCCACAACCTGTTGCTGGGAAAGGCAAGTAATTACAAAGACTGTGATTTTAGAAAGCCATTCAGCCGGCTGAGCTGTTTTTGGTTTTGTTTTGTTTTGAAGCCAAAGTGGTGGTTTTCTTCGTAGTGGGAATTTTTTTCACCCTTCCACTGAATAAGCTTAGACAGCCTCATGAAGAAGCACAAGTACCAGCGTAGCTCTTCTGTTTTCCTGTGATTTAGGCCGAGCGGGCTGTTCAAAAACCAAAACTCTCTTCTACAAAACAGCGTAGCAGAGACCTCCAGAGACACAAAGCCTCCACTGCACCTCCGGCTTATTCATAGGAGGGAAGCATAAACCCGTGGCTGCCCTCTCAGTCTTGACGGTTCTTTGTTGTTAGCTTGTTTGTCCAAGTGGGGGTTCCCTTGCAGGGTATTGAATTTAATACCCTGCAAGGGAACCCCCACTCGGACAAACAAGCTAACAACAAAGAACCGTCAAGACTGAGAGGGCAGCCACGGGTTTATAAAATGAGAGCCAACCCGTCTCCTCTCACCAGGCATGCCCAAGCCGCAGCCCTGGAAAGCTAGTGATGCAGCAGTCCCACAAGATCGTAAACTTTTAACATTTATACCTGCATACAAATTAACTATATTATATACAGTTACAACAGGCGAAAGACTGGCAGAAGGCATCCATGAACACCAACTGGCAGTCAGAAGACATGACCAAAATTCTTTAATTACTCAACATAGAGACAGATTTAACCATAGTTTCAATTGGGAAAATGTGACCATCCTAGACCAGACCAAGTCCAAAAATGCCAGGGAACTTCTAGAAGCCTGGCACTCTGACAAATCAGCCGTCAATAAACACATAGACATTAACAACACCTATAGACTATGCAAAAGAGACCATCAACCAGCCCAAAAGAGAAAAAGATTCCAGCACTTCTCCACCAGGAAACAACATAGATTAACTCCAAGGTTAACTTCAGACTAACAATCAAGTAAACAATACCCCAAGCAAGAAATTGGCAAAGAGCCATCAGTAAACAGCCCAACCAAAGAATCCCTAAGACCACCCACACCCACACAGACAGGCAAGACACCAGAATATAAACTGACAGCAAACAGCACTCCTTACTAGCACTGATGATGTTGCCTAGTTGGGTAATGAAACATCTGCAAGAAAACAAGCAAGCTCAGAGAGCACCAAGGACCCCCCTTATTTTATATGTAGTCCTCTTCACTCAATGCAAGCCATAAAGTTTGAACGCACCTGCCCTACACACCGATGATGTTACCTAGTTGGGTAATAAAATGTCTGAAAGAAAAAAATCCAGCTCACACATCGCCAAGGATGCCAGAAACCTCAACTCCTAGGCAACACTGTTTCTATTACACTCAAAAGCCCACGAAGAAGAGATGGCTGAAGTGGGACTGACTGCCTCACTGCACGCAAAGCAATTTCAGCTGCTTTCTATGAAACGGCTACTGTATTCCAGTTGGTAAAGCTCAGAGAGCTTGATGTGCAAACTTTAACCAATCAGGGCTCATTCAATGGGCCATGCTTAAGAAAACAATGTGTTAGGTAGTGTATGAACGTCTCAAAGGTTACTGATGAAGCTCGCACTCTGAAATGAGGCTATTCTGTCAGACTCACTGCTGAGTAAATCCACTCAGGACGGGGGCACACAACTCAAGTGCCAAACTAGGCTAACAAAGCACACATTCAGTTTCCAAAGTTCATCCTCAACTTACGAGAGGCCTTCTTTCTTTCCCCTATCTTCCCCAGGCAGGGCTGGGAGAGGGAGCACAAGCATCTCCCTAACTTCAACAAGGTCTGTGCCGGATGGGCTTAGCAGGATAGTATCCTCTGGGCAGGAACAGGAAAGGCAACCAAAACATGTGCGATTGTAGGGCCAATGTAGGGCCGATTATAGGCAAAATGGACATTCCTAAGTGTGTGTCCTGATCAGTGCTGGGTTTCAAAAATTTTTGGAACCTCTTCTGTAGGTGTGGCCTGCTTTCCGGGTCCAGTGGTGGAACCTCTTCTAACTGGTTCGGTAGATTTGACGAACCGGTTCTACCGAATAGGTGCGAACTGGTAGGAACCCACCTCTGGTATTGATATGCACCTCCCCCCAGTTAGTTATTGAATTTCTGCTTTTCCTGAGCTCCAATCAATTGCTATTGCAATCCAAAGGCTATTTATTCTCCAGGAGTTTAAAATAAATATTAGAAAGTAGGACTTTCCAGAGAGTTACAGGTTATAAACCAAACTTCAGACCCAGAATTGAGCAAAGTGACTTGAAGCATTTTACCTCTTCTATGCAACCGAAAAGCCTCACGTCACCTCCTGAGCAGTGGGTTCCTTAGGTCTGGTGGGGAAGAGAGAGAAAGGAAGTTCCCACCTGCTCTTTAAGAGGCTGAAAGGGGGGGGGGGACTTCAACACTGCACTGGCTGTGTATGTGCTTTTCTGCCCTGGGTCAAAGTCCACCAGCACCAAGCAATACCAGGAGAAACAGTGGCTGCAACCACACTCTGCATTCAGCCATAGAATAGCTTTGTTACTGCTCACTAAATATGCCAGAATTTACAAACGTGGCATTTATGATGAAATTTGCACCTGCCCTTCTGCTAATATAAAGCACTCAAGTTGGCTTGCAACATTTAAAAAAACACAAAAAAACTAAAACCAACCAAGAGTTCAAATCCTGATGAAAGAAATACATTTGACAGTTTTCTTAAAGGACGGGGCAAAGGACACCTCCAATCTGGGCAATTGGGCCCAAAGCTGGTTTCATGGTCCCCCCCCCCCCAATCAATTACAGCATCTTTAGCCATGTTTGACTTAGCATAACTTTCACTCAGGCCTCTCCCGTTTGCACTCAGCCTTCCCAGTCCAGCTGGAGAGCTGGCTCCGCAGCAGCCCAATGGGATCCCTGCCAGTCCTTCAAAGCTTCTTCCTCCACCGACTCCGAAGTTTTGACAGGTGTCATTAACTTTCTTCGCCGGCTCTTCCAGGCTGCCAAGGCCGCTCTCCTTTCATCCGGGCTAAGAAGGGACCCAGGACTTCGGCAGTTGGGAGTTTCCGAGCACGAGAAAGGAGCGAGCCGGGCAAGCACCAGCGATGAATGGCTGCCTGTCTCGCCCAGTCCGGTGGGGAACTGTGGCGGCCGCCGGCTGCCACCGGCCCGGCAGAGCTCAGCTTGGACCGGGGGCGCCCCGACTCCGCAGCCCCAGGGGACGGAGGAGGCCGGGAGCCCCAAGGCCCGGTGCCCCGCTTCTCCCTCCGCTGCAGGGAAGAGCCGGCAACCGCCCTCCGGGGCCGCGTGGGAGCCCACCGGGGAGGCCGCCTCAACTTCGGGGGAAGCGCGGCGCGAAGACCGCGAGGGCGCCCCGTTCCCGACTCCAAAGGGGCCCGTTTGGCGGGAAGGACGAGGCCCCTTCGGACACACCGGGCACCGACGCTCGCCGGCCCCGGGGGAGGAAAGGATCCGCGGGGGCCCGGGCAGGCTTCGGCCGTCCCCGGAGAAGCCACTTCGCCGGGCCCACCGAATGGCGCCGACGGCCTTTGTGTGGCCACCGCTGCCGCCGGCGAAGATGGCGCGGAGGGGGAGTCGCACCCGCCCCCCGCCTCCCCCCCGCCTTTGTCGCTGCGGCGCCCCTCCCCCCGCGCGGCG